ATGGCAATTAGGATAGGGGGACAGTATCAATATTATACACTACATAGTGTAGCAAATAGCTACATATGACAAAATGGAAACCATTTGTGCATTCAGCACAAATTAAACAACAACTGCCTGATGAAGTGTGTTCAACCAATAGTGTCAAAATCAACTGCCTGCGGTTCTACTGATCAACTGCTGGTGTACATTATTAAATGTGTAAATGATGGTAATTACCACGTAGTAATCACATTTTGCTCAGATAAACAAGGTACATGTTCATCATTACTAACTTTTGATCCTTCAATTAATCTGTTCTGAAAAGAAACTACTTTTTCAACATGATTACTGTATTGTAATTGTTTAATGAGATTCCTCAATATTTATTATTCATTTTATACCAGTAAACTCTGATGCTTTATAGACATAAGCTAGGAAACCTGCAAGTAAGACTTTAGTCAATTGTTTTTTTTCATCAATATTTTTCATGATTTCCGTAACACTAATTTATTTGCTATTTATTACTTATTTATAGATTATTGGATAGCAAATGATGTCTGTGATGAAAATGATTGACAACTAATCAATGGAGGAAATCTTTGATTTTTTAAAAAAAAAACCAATTTATGTAATTAGCTAAAACTTGATCCCGAAATCTATCAAAATTAAAATAATGGAATGCTATAAATCACATGATTTGAGGGGTATATTTTAATTTCCATATTTTGATTTAAAAAAAAATTCTTTCGAAATATGTAATAAGAGTTTTTCATCCATTTTATTTAGCAACATTATTAATTCTAATATATTAATAAACTTGTAAATGACTTAACAATGTTTGCTTAATAATGCATATTATCATGATGTAGAATCAAAGTCGGGGAAGACAAGGATGTCAAATATTCAAAGCACATTCACTATTTCAAAAGCAAAGTCTTGTATTTTGAACCGTTTTGTCAAATAATTGGTCAAAAAAATCTAAAGATGGCAGTATTTTATTTGAGAAAAAAAAATTCTCTAAAAGTTCTTTTAATGTTATATATTTACAATGCGCAGCTCCCGTGTTACCATAAAAGGTATATATAAGAAGAATAAACAAATTTTAAATTTAGTTTCTATATTTTAATTTTTTAAAAAAATGTTCATTTGATGAACATATTATTTAACAACCTTATTAGTTCCAACAAAGATGCATTACCATTAAAATTTATTAGTAAACTTGTAAATGACTTAACAACATTGTTAAATAAAGCAGATTATCATGATGTAGAAATCAAAGTTGGAGAAGGCCAAGATGTTAAAACATTCAAAGCACATTCCACCATTTTAAAAGCAAGGTCTTTGTATTTTAAAGCTGCTTTATCAAATAATTGGGTAAAAAAATCCAAAGATGGCATTATTTTATTTGAGAAAA